TTAATTGCCCAGTGGGCGAGGTCCCTGGTGTGCAGTGGTCTCCCTCTTATAAAGTTCTGTGTGTTCAGCACACATTTCCGATGATGGTACACATGTTTCAGATTAGAGGGAGAGAACAAACACACAGCAAACAAAGGAGCTGTTCAAATGTCCAAAATATCCCATGTGGGCAAAATAGAATCAAACCTATCTAGGACCGCAGCGCAGTGACACAGAGAAATGTGGAGAATCTGACAGCTAGCATTGAAAGCCATGGAAAATCACTCAGCTCACAGCCAATAAATCATAGAAAATGGAGCACTATTGCATTTGACATTTGGAAACATTTCAGTTATGATAGTGAATAAGTGAATATTATAGGTCCAAATTCGGGTGATGGAATTTGTCAGAATTAATTTACCTTGAGTCTTGCCTCTTGTGTGGTTTAAGACAGACCCCCATGCACACTACTGCAATTTATTACAAGAATAAAGATATCACAGACAGTGCAATGACAGAAAGAGGCCTGGAGAGAAGTGGGATGAGAAGCGGAGGGGGTGAGGATGAGGATTCACTTCGCTATGTTTACAGACGAATGCTAGAGAGCAGCACAGCGTAGAACAGGTGGCCATACATCACTTTGAGTGGATTAAACGTACATAAACACACATTCACACATTCAGACGCACAGAGTTGAGGGAGGTGCTTGGGTTCTGTTTTGATTCCTGAGCACAAAAAGATTTTAACTACTGACTGTAACTTGTTGAACATAAAAGTTGACAGGAGCTGATTTCTCTCCTGCCTGTGAGGTACGAGGACAAGGGAGAGTCATAACTCAGTTTAAACTGTTGGGAGACGAAGCAAAACTTCTTAGACTGAAAGTTTTCCTGTTGTAGGACGTTTATGTTGAACTATTGTCCATTCATCTTCTCTCCAATGGAACCTCCCGAGCTGTTCCCTGTCTTCAAGACTGAACAGATGGACTGCTGTTTTTTCAGGGAGCACCTTTCCAGAGAGCGTGTATCATCAGCTTGGCGGCTGGATATGTATATTTTAACAATTTCTGAACCAAAACTGGAAAACAGGCACCATGAAAAATGAAGTTTTTTTTTTTTTTTGTAAAGTCACTAATCAAACCATTTTCTACATCTGTTGCAGTGTGTTGTCTCTGCTTGTGTCGGCTTGTGTTTCAGTGCATGCTCTGTGTCAGGACACTGCTGCCACTGTATATCACCAACACAGTTCTGATCCCATTGTTGTGGTCTATGGCTATCACTAGCTGGAGTCCCCCAAGCCACATCTAAGAAAAGACTATTTATCACTGGAGAGCAATGCATACCCCAAGTTAGCTCTCACACACTGAAACACAAACACACACACACACACACACACACACACACACACACACACACACACATATAAACACACATGTACACATACAGTAAACTGAGCCTACATTGCGGTGTTCTGGAGGCTTCATGTGACGTGTCACTGTACCACACAGGTCACGTCCTGACTCTCTCTGCTGTGGTTTGTTCCAGCTGTGTTTGAGGTCGGCTAAGTACACAGTTCTGTGTGAACTCGCAGTAATGTGTCGGCACAACCTGACCTGGAGGAGGTAGACATGTGAAACCATGTTTAGTCCTGATCAGAACCAGTTTGCATGCAGGTGGTTTTTCCTGTGCACTCTAGGAATCACTTTAAAAGCTTTTATAGGGAGAGAAATATTAAAACCCATTTCCTTTAGCTCAACGCTTTGGACAGTTCACCTCCGAAACTAATTTTCGTAAAGATCATCAAGACCACAGAAGTGTGCAGTTGCTGTGCGAATATGTGCGCACAAACATGCATAATCACACACTTGCTGCTGGGCGAAATCACAAGCAGATGGATTAGACATCTACTGTAACATGGCAGTGGTCTGATGCACTCAGATGAGAACCCAGCCCACCCCTGTAATTACTATCAGACACACACACACACACAGACATATACTAACTGGGACAGGGGAACACATGGGAGACATTAGCACTGCCAATAGGGCCACACATGTAAAGTACAATATGGCTTGCTTATACAGCAATGTAGACACGATGATGCTTTACTCATGTTGATTTATTAATTCATCTGTGGCTTAAGAAAACACCACAGTTCTCATCTCCTCCCAGTTAGACCCTGAGGCATTCACTAACTCCAAACATAAAACACTTAGTGTTCCACTTAACTGTGCAATACTGCAGACTTCACCTGTAGAAATGCAATGATGTCACTGTGTGTGTGTGTGTGTGTGTGTGTGTGTGTGTGTGTGTGTGTGTGTGTGTGTGTGTGTGTGTGTTTCTACTGTGGCATATAGAACTGTGAAAAGTGTGAAATATAGTATTTCTTCACATCATTACATTGTACACCTACAATTAAATCAAGTTATAATAAAGACAAGGTAATTGTTTGCATGTCATAAAATAATGTAAAAAAATAAGAATTTAATTGTATAGTCTATAGTCTATGGGTTTTTTGGTCTGATCAGTGATATTTAATTTACAGTAATATTAATATTTGTATAGTACATATTTGTTTGGCTGAATTCAGCAAATGACCTACTTGATATTTGACTGAATGAATAATCAGACATAAAAAATAATTGCTGATTATGTTTCTGTCCATTTTTTTTCTTTTTCTTTTTTTTTTTACACATTAGTTTTCCATCAAATTATATCCTTGGAAAAAGATAATTTTGCACATGTGAATGCATTCCTTGAAAACAAAACTCAGTAACTCGGCTCAGTGACAACCTTTTTAAATTCACTTGAAGTGAAATGAAGTGTGATGGAAACAAAATGCCCTTTAGCAGTGGAATGTTTGTGGAGTTTATGCCACAGAAAACAAAACAAATCCAGCATGACCACTCTGAAAAGACTCAGACTGAAATGACACATCAAAATTTTGAGGGAGAAAATGACCACATAAAATCCTCATATTTCTCTTTTTCACCCGGGCACACAAAACACAAGGGTATTTCAGTAAAAAAAAAAAAATCTTCATTACAATGTTAAAAATGCAAATGTGCAAGGAAAAGAAACAAATGAAATTTCACATGGTTCACAAGGACGCGCCTGTCTACATTGAAATCTATTAAAGAAGGCCCAAAACAGTTTACCATAATACAATGTAGTGACAAGACAAGACATGTTTTCATAGACCTATTAAGTAACTGGTTCATCTGAGGTAAGAAAACATCCCTGTGGTACACTGTGAATGTACGGAAAACTTGTTTCTCACAAAATGCTTTGTAAAATGATTGAATCCTTGAGACATTCGTCATGTCCCAGGCAGCTGATGAAGGCCATACAGACTAGAACACCCTTGCAAGGAGGACAGTGTGCAAGCGATAACAAATATAACACAACTTCAACTCCACCAACACAGAGAATATGGAGTATGAAGAATGTATCACCTGTGGAAACGTGCTACAGCATCTTGCGTTACCTCACTTACCCCTTTATGCACATAAACACTCAGCATGTTGTAGAACCATAACTATATATAAAGACTGAACAACAAGCCCACCACGCTTTGCACATGTAAACTTAAACCTGTGATGTTCTCTCTTTAAATCTCACTCCACTTGTTATTCTACTGTCAGGATGCAGAGCGGCACTGAGCAGCAGTGTTAACATCACACCACCGCACCCTCTGGGATTTACACTCTACCTTCCAACAGCCTATAAATCTACAAGCTCCTCACACACAAAGTAGCAAGATTCATTAAACGCTCGTTCTCACATGTGAATACATGCGCACACATAAAGTTAAGATGGACAGCTTTGCCACCCACTAAATCCTGTTAGCCTGGTGTGGTCTGTCAACTAGCTTTACCTAAATTATGATGTGCAGAAAACGCAGCCACATACGTACATATTATATCCTCCTCCTATGTGATAAAAGCTGTCAAGTATTGCTTAAATACACAAAAGATGGAGGGCGAAGACAGACAAGAGGTTTACATTCCTCTCTGCCGCTCAGCCTTATAGTCACAACATTGTGCGAATGCATCGGTTTATTTCCCACCATACATGGTTCATCCGCGGCTTGATAGTTTATCTGACTTTTTTCTGACTCCTATCTGTGAGCCTTTATATCAGCTCTCCAGAAGAAAACCAACAAAGAAAACAGTGTGTCTGTTGGCTACCTGATCAGAGCGGTGCACGCTGCAGGTCTTCTACTCACTAAACTACAAGGCCTGTTTCTTACTGTGACACACTTTCCTTTTTGTTCAGTACTTTTTTAAATTCAAATACCCTCCAGTGTCTCTGGAGAGGTTTCACTCAAGGTGACCCACATTTACTAGTTAAGCAAATAAAATAGACCAGTGTCTGCATCTTCCTTCACTTTCTGTGCCAAGGGTAACAGCAATATCTCTCCCGATATAGATCTGTCTGTTTACACTTATAACACTGTTTGGAAGGATTGCTGGCCTTTGCTCCGTGCAAGGCAGAGATGATATTTTAATTAAGTCCTTTGTGTATTATTGCGTGACACTGGAAATAAACTTCCTCTGAGATGTAAGTATTTGGCACTGCTCACATTTTTGACATCCATCAAGTGCAGCAAAAAAAAGTTACATAAAGGACTGATGCTTTGCAAGAAACAGTAGTTTTGAGACTTTGGAGTGGCTTATTGGACAGTGCCATTATGCAAGGTCTGTCTGAGCTGCACCCTGATTGCAACACAAAAACTCCCAGACGTCTTCAACACATACATCTGACTGGTTCCCAAGCTGATTATGCAAAACACAAAGACAATGGATAACATGTCAAACATGTCAAACTCTGGTCCGGCCAATTTCAACGTTGGTAGGGGTTCAGTGAGTCCCTCCACAGTCTCCATTATAATAAGCGGCTTCGTGGCGCCATCTAGAGGGCGACAGCCCCTGCAGCTGTGAACCAACAGAGGGCGCTATCTAACAATCATTGAACAGAGAGCACGATACCTTCTCTGGCACCGGAAGCCAGGAGGCATGGCAAGCAATATGACATAAACCAAGCCATTGATGTTGTGTAACTGCACGTTTTGTAAGTAATCTCTGTTACTGTCGCTTCGGTTTAATGTAACCGACATCACTGATAGCACAGTCACTGGATGCCGTATGAATCTCCGTCTGTAGCTGCACTGAAGCCGCTGGTCTCTAAAGGATGAACAGCTGATGATGTTCGGCTCACTGTTAGCTTAGCAGGTTAGCCTAGCCACGTAAACAATGGAGCTGTGTGAGAGAGTTTAATGTTTCTGTCTGAACTTCATGTGAATGTTTTAACGAACTATCTAACCGCTTCTTGTAGGACAGTCTTTGTTTAGAAGAGGTATCAGAAATGTGTATTTCCTCGTTTCTACGCTTCGTACACAGCATAATCAGCTTAAAATCAGTCACCCATAGCTAAAAATCAGACGTAACAGGTTAGTGTTTATCAGTTACGTTAACGTCAACTAACTAATTCAGTTCTCAATTAACATAACGTTTTAGGGTGTAAGTCTAAGTTGACCAAAAGTAACGACATAAAGTTAACAGTATGTCTTGTATTAAAGCAGTGCCAGGGGAGAGCATCGGTTTACATCTGGATGACCCACTGACTGACTGACAGCCTGCAGCTGCACCATTATGCCTGTAGAAGGTTCAGAGGAGCAGGTGCCCACCTCTCTCTCTAGCCCGGCCAGTGCTGCGCTCACCCCGGGAGGGACTGAGGAGGATGGAGCCACAGGGGGCTCAGCAGTCAGCTCTTTCCCTGAAAACAGTCAGGGCTCTGAGGCTGCTGCAGCCTATCCTGCCAACACTGGACCTGGGGAGAGCAACAGTGGTGAGCTATGCAACCCCTTTGGACAGATGACAGAGAAGAAATAAAACAGACACACTTAAGGGTCTTTCATGATAGACACAAAGTCAGTTAATGTATTTTCATCTGTTCATGTAGCTGGCAAGAGGTCTGGGGCCTTGTTGCAGATTGACCGACAGCGTATTCAAGCTGCATCTGCCAGTTCTGGAGCAGATGAACTCCAGGGCCTTGGGGTGGCTGTGTATGATCAGGACGTCCTGGAGCAAGGTGTCCTGCAGCAAGTGGATGAGGCAATCCAGGAGGCCAATCAGGCTGCGGCTAAAGCCGAAGCTGAGAAGGAGTACCAGTCTGTGCTCGATGATGTCAGGTGAAGGACAATAACTGCAATAACAATTGGGATATATTTTTTTCTATGACCTTTAAATGAAGATCATACTATTTGTAGCAGTAGTAAAAGTATAATGATCATTCAGTTTCTCCAGGACTTAGAGAAGCATATTTGACTGACTTACTTGACGTTGAATTATATAAAAAACTTAACTTTAAAGTCTTTGGTGACTTTAAGTTTATCACTTAGTAAGCTCGGATGAAGAAAATAAAAGATGAAAAAAATCATTTTCTCCACTATCGTCATAGAAATTTGTTTTTGATTTCAAAATAACACACCTTAATGGCGCTGACAAATCTAACTCTGTTTTTTTAATGGTGTGTGTTTCAGGTCCGTTACAACATCTCTGAAACATATCAACAAGATTATTGAGCAGCTGTCTCCCTATGCTGCTTCCAGCAAAGATATCAGTCGGAAGATTGAATCTGTCAAACGACAGAAAGAAAATAAGGTAAAACACTGCACATGGCAAACTGTTAAAGTAAAATTATACAATTTACATTATAATGTGACATAACTATAATATTGATAGAGACTGTGATGATGATGAAGACACTTTTTAATTCAGGAGAAGCAGCTGAAGAAAGTCAGAGCCAAACAGAAGCGACTTCAGGCCATTTTAGGAGGAGAGGACACCCAACGGGTGGAAGCAGAGCTTTTGGCAGAGGATGATGAAGAGGAAGGTGAGGCGCTTTTCATTTTTGCCCTATGATTTCTTTCTGTTTATTGACAAAACATTGTTCTACCACCCAGTCATTACCACTGGGGGTAATCAACACCGAGTCGCATGAGGCAAATAAAGTGCTGGTACCCTGCTTTCTATAGATAATGTGAAACCAGGGTCATGTCCAGCACTGCCCAACATTTAGCAAAACAAAGCAGAGATGGAAACAATGCAGAGCACTAATACCGTTTGCTGTTATGGTGGCCAAGAAGGCTATTCTGTGACATTCCCTGTTTAGGGAACTGACAGAGAAGATTGTAAGCAAAAGCATACATATTTGGTGTTAAAAAACAGGCTGTTTAGAAAATATCAAAGTTACCACATCTTTGCATCTTTAGTGGATTCCATTACTGACACTTCCACCAAAATATTTGCCAGAGGCTGTTGAAAGATGTGCAGATGTGGCAGCTGAGTTTCTTTTAGTGTTGAAATGTTTTTATTCCCCTAGATTATATGCTGCCACACAGCACTGTTGACCTTTAGAGGTCTGTTCACTCTTAGGAGTAAAAACCAATACATCCGGAGCCAAAATCCACTGTGATGTACAACATCAAACCCTTCCAATCAGCTTTCAATAGACACTTCTTAATTTTCAAAACCGCATTCATTTGCTGCTATAATAACGATTTGTACTAATCATTTGACTGCATGACGTCAGATACATAGCCAGTTATGTTTGATATGTCCATTATGCTTTGTTTTGACAGAGCTGAATTTGAACCAAATGGAAACCACCTCGACATCATTGTGGGTTGTTGCTATTAGGGCAACATATTTGAAAGTTGCAACCTACAAAGAGTAGTGTTGCAGCTGTCTCTTTTCAAATGTGATTCAGTGCTGATTTAACATTCAGTCAGAAATTTCCTGAACACCAGTTGTTTATTATCAGCTTGAACAAGCAAATATAAAAGAAGCTGCACACTTCGAGGTACACTGTAGAGTTTCTCATAAATAAACCGCTATGTTTACGTTCGATCAGTAAAATGTATTGTTGTGTAACCTTGAGGACTAACGAATGTGTTCAGTGTATTTCTTTCCTCCAAAAAACAATCTTTTGAATCCTGCAAAATCTTCTCACACGCACACGTTTGCCCTCATATGCATAGCACTATTAGTGGTTAAAAAAGATAGGTCTGTAACTAAGCCTGTATGTGTGTTCTACCAGAAGCCGGGCCATCCACACTGGGCAGCATGCTCATGCCAGTTCAGGAGACCGAATGGGAGGAGCTTATCCGGAAAGGTCACATGACTCCTTTTGGAACCCGAATCCCTCAGAAGGAGGTAAAGAAGGAACCTCGGAAAGTGATGCTCGCTGAGAATTCCGCCTTTGACGAGTACTTGGCGGACCAGGCAAAGTTGGCTACTGAGAGGAAGAGAGTCCCTCTACTAAAGAAGAAGATGCGCTCTGGACTCAGCCCTGATGGAAAAACTAACAGAACTGTTCTCTCTTCCAAGGATAAAAAAATAAGGAAGCGCATGCGAAAGCTCCAGATAATTGCTCTGAAGGCCCATCCTAAGGCTCGGCCTAAGGCTGAGCCACGGCTTCCTAAATCAAAGAAGAAGCATCACACTGAGGGAGAAGAGACAGACAGCGAAGGGTCAGAGTACCTGCCCTCTGATGAAGGCGTTGATCCTGACCAAGAGGAAAGAGAAGCCATGGAGGAGGGCTTTGGGGAAGATGACGATGATGAAGAGTATGACTTGAAACCATACAAGAGAAAAACTGAGGGAAGAGGGAGGAAGAAAGTAAAGAAAAAGGAGGACAGTGAGGAAGAATACTGTCCTGAGAGTTCAGATGAAGAGGAGCATGGGAAGGGTAAAGATAAAAGATGCAAAGATGATGGAGATGTGGAGTACTACAGACAGAGAATAAGGTATGATCATTGTTCTTGCTGTTTTAAACTTGTATAATTAGTTCATTTTAACCCCCAGATTAACATAGGTTATGTAACTTTAAATATTTTGTAATTTATTTACAGTTTGTAAAGAGCAGATTTGTACTTGGAGTTATGGTTGGATGCAAAGATGCAAAAAGTTTTCATGTGTATGTCTTCTTCTAAAGAGAATGCAGACATCCTGGCCTGTAAATGACATGCTCAACAAACACCAGATTGAGCCTTTAACTTTGCATCACATTTGTAATGGCAGTGGTGCAAATGTGCTATTGTTCTTCCCTTTAGTTAAGGAGAAAGCAGTTGTTTTCTGCTGGCTCCATAGTGCAGAAGGAGAGTTAATCCCAGATGAGATTGGCAGCTGTTTCTTGACTAAGCAAATTCACTCCCTGCTCTTCTTCTCTCTCTGCTCTCACACTGGCCTAATTATCCTCCTGCACATGGTTTTATACACTCACTAACTGTAATGCTCAAATTAATGGAAGAGCAGCCCTAATGAGATTTCATATTTATAGCTGCCAAATAAATTGTGTTGGCATGTGTCCTTTTTCTACACTACAGTGATTGAATGTCAATTCAACAGCATAGACACGGCATGGATGGTGAGGCCAGCTTATATGAGGAATGATATTATTAGAGCGGATGGTATTTGTAGTTGGATGGGGGGTGGAGTGGGGGCAGAAAAGTGTAATTAACTGAACCAATGCTTAGTCTTGACTTAATTAGAGAGTGTGGTCTCCCAGGCCCAGCTAAAGGACCAGTTTTGTGGCAGGGTGACAGGACCAGGCCCAAATGAAGATGGATTCTTATCCTCTGCACCTCACACCTTTCTGGGGAACTCGCACTACTAATTGTCGGTATCAATCTTCATTTGCTCCGCGACGACTGTGCCTCTAACTGCCCTCTCTCCTGCACTATTAAAGCTGTTCTCCTTTACATTTCCCTTTTAGCTATAGATGTTCCACCGCTCAAGGGAAAAACCCACAGCTCAAAACATTTGCTGTCCATACACCTGTGTAGGCAACTCTTAAAATAAATCACTGAGTGCAGAAGGTGCAAATGGAACATCCATCCATCCATCCATCCATCCATCCATCCATCCATCCATCCATCCATCCATCCATCCATCCATTCGCTATACCTGCTTACCCTGTGTAGGGCTACATGTAGCTGGACCTATCCCAGTGTACACAGGGTTGCTGGGTACTTTATACCCTGAACAGGTCGTTATTGTGTCATCGGGCTTATACCCGTAGAAAAAGAAATCTAATCCATCATGAAACAGAATTCCCTTGAAATATCTGACTTTTTCAACTTGGATTATCAAAAACCAAAACCTCAGAGTTTGAACTGACCGTGGGAGCCGTCAGCACTTCAGTGTTGCTTGACAATATTTGAGTTCTTTGTCTAAAGATTAAGCAGGTATTTGATCTTGGACTTCTAGCTTAGCAAGTTACCTTTGTTTTACTAATATTGAATAAATACATTTTACCATTTAGTGTGCTATAACTTCAGCATATAATCGTTGTCTTACTAGGAGATGGAAGCGACAACGTCTTCGAGAAAGGGAGGAGAAGAGAGAAAGAGGTGAGGACCTGACGGACGACAGTGATGCAGAGTTTGATGAAGGGTTCAAAGTGCCAGGTTTCCTCTGGAAAAAACTTTACAAGTAAGTTTGATTTGATGAAATTATAGTTATCTCAAATAGCCACACAGTCGGTTAGAAATGTCATTAAATTATTGTTGTCATGTGAGGAAGTGACTAATAGTTATAAAGATCATCTATGTACTTTGTACATATTCTGATATATTGCGCTACATCAGACCCTTTGCTCATACAGATCTTTATACTGATTAACTAAAGGTCATTTGATCAGGAAACCGTAAATCTTTTTCTTATAATGCTACAATGGGTCACTAGTAGATGTTGGCAGAAGTGAGTTTGTCTGTCTGTTGTTTTAAAATACTTTTAAGAATAACTGTGGCATCACTATCTGTTTAGCTTAGTTGATAAATATAGATTTGCCTAGCCAGAGATCCCAAATTCTTATTGCAGTTTTCATTATAACTTCTATGGATATTCCCAGACGTGTCTTTCTCAAAGCACCATGTTTGTCACAATTTACCCCGACTTGTGCTTTTGTTCTGCCCGAGTATATTAGTAATAATAGTAATCTAATCCATTGTTAATTCCTGTATGAAATTTCCTTTTGGCTTTCAAGATGAGCTATAAACCATTGCTAAATCTGGTAGGGATTATGGAGTTTACTCTGACAGATTTCAGTTGAAATATGGTCTGATTACCAGGCCACCGCGTCATTTATGTACATTTCAGTGTCCATGGTTGATGTTTGTGCATACACCTATATCACATTGTCAGGTACCAGCAGACAGGTGTGCGGTGGATGTGGGAACTCCACTGTCAGCAGGCAGGTGGCATCCTGGGAGATGAGATGGGATTGGGTAAAACCATCCAGGTCATCAGCTTTCTGGCTGGACTGAGCTACAGCAAACTGAGGACCAGAGGTTCCAACTACAGGTACACACACACACACGCAAACACACACACACAAACGCACAAACAAACTGTGGCCAGAGCCTGTGTGTCTGTATGGTATGAATATTTGATCAGGGGGATTTCTGCTTGAGAGTGTTCATCTGAATTATTAAACATGTTTCAATTATCAGACTCTTCACTTTCTTACTGCAGACATCAGAGAAAACACTGACACTGACAGTGTGTGTGTGTGTGTGTGTGTGTGTGTGTGAGTGTGTGTGTGTGTGTGTGAGTGTGTGTGTGTGTGTGTGAGTGTGTGTGTGTGTGTGTGAGTGTGTGTGTGTGTGTGTGAGTGTGTGTGTGTGTGTGTGGGTGTGTGTGTGTGTGTTGGATTGTGTTGTGTGGAGTCAGTGTCTTCATGAACACTTAAAGTGAATCTTGGACTCAAGAAGTGGGAGTCGAGCAGGCATAGGGCAACAAATCAACAGTGGAAAACATGAGGCAGTAATCTGGTTTTACTGCACAAACGACACTCATGCACTTAGGAGGTGGAGCTTCCCTGATGGTCAATACTCTGTCTGCTATAGACGCCCACAAATTGATTGCTTGCAAACTCAATTATGGCCCAGTATCAATAGCTTCCACCAGGCAGAGGTTCATACTAGCCCATTAGTGTCTCTTTGTGCATGTGTGTATGTGTTTGTTTGACAAAGCTCTTGTAAATCTTCACAGAGGAGCTGAGCATGTGGTCATGCACCTTCTTTGATTCATGTATAAAGCACAGAGAATGAATGGAGCAGTAGAGATAGACTGTATAGTCGGGCACTCAACTTCCTCTGTTGTTCACATGCCAGAATGCATCACATCATGTACATGCAAATATAGCACATTACCATACTTTAACCCATCTGGTTTCTATAATTTTGCATAAAAATGATGACTCTAATTTGCTAATGAAATTTGCTGAGGTCGGTGAAAGTTATATGAACCCTGAGATCTCTTGTTTACCCGTTTTAATCCCAGGTTTGGAATTAAACACGTACCTACTGTGTGTTTGGTCTTAGGTATGCTGGTCTGGGTCCCACAGTTATCGTGTGCCCAGCTACAGTCATGCACCAGTGGGTGAAGGAGTTTCACACCTGGTGGCCCGCTTTCAGGGTGGCTGTTCTACATGAAACGGGCTCCTTCACCAGCAACAAGGTAGACGTGTGTTTGTGTTTGTGTGTGTTGGATTTTGATTTTCAGAATTTTAGAAAGTTTTTCTTCCGGGTCTTTTTTCCTCTGGGGGGCACTAGAGGTCTGTTTATGAAACATTACCTCCAAACCGTCTCCCCTCTTCCCCTCTCTGACTCTCTCAGACACCTTCTTCTTGGACACTCTTCAAAGTACAGGATACTAGAGATGGTTCAGACTTGCACTGACTGAAACTTGTACTGATGAGGTTTGTGTCTCCTTCTTTTATTTCTGCTGCAGGAAAGGCTCATTCCAGAGATAGCATCATGTCACGGTATTCTGATAACCTCATATTCCGCTGTGAGGACAATGCAAGATGCCTTGCAGCGGTACGATTGGCACTACATTATACTGGATGAGGGCCATAAGATCAGGAATCCAAATGCTGGAGTTACCACTGCCTGCAAACAGGTATTCACACACGTTCAGTACACACACATTTTAACCACAGCACCTGAAGGGTCCAGTCACTAGTAATGAATGTAAGCTGTGCAGAGTTTAAAGAGTTATAAACCGCTTTTGAAATTGTATTATACATTTTGCTGGTTTAAATACACACAGTTGTCAGTTGTGAGTTTGTTTTTCTACCTTTGAAAGATGTTTTTGCTGCTATTCATTCTTATACTGCAACATACATGTGCACCATATTTTAAATGTGTATGAATGTAAAGGGAACATTGTCTCTTTCCTCTCTGTAGTTTCGCACCCCCCACAGGTTCATCCTGTCAGGCTCTCCCATGCAGAACAATTTGAAGGAGCTGTGGTCTCTGTTTGATTTTGTCTTCCCCGGCAAACTGGGAACATTACCTGTCTTCATGGAGCAGTTCTCTGTGCCGATCACCATGGGGGGATACAGCAATGCTTCACCTGTACAGGTACAAGCATACCCAAATGCAGATTTTGCTCCTTAATACTTCTTCTTACTTTGGGGTACAATAAGGGATATCGGCCCCATTTGAGACTTGGAATATATTTTGAGAAGATTAAAGCAAAGGGAAACAAGGAATATGGCTGACAATAAGAGTGTCTTTGTGTGTTATCTTGTTTTTTGGTACAATTTGATTTACTGACCATTTTCATTAAATGTTAGAAGAAAATACATTTTTAAAGTAACACAGTTACTTTAGAAGTAGAGCAAAAAGCTACATGGCTTATTTCCATTCTAGTCCAAAGTGAATAGGGAGTGGAGGAAGCAGATGCGCATCGTAGAAGTCATCAATTCATACAGCAACCCTTTCGGTAAATCTGTAACTGTAGCATAGGGAGGGTGCAATGAAGGGCTAAAGTGTCACTTGACAACACTAGTCCTACACATGCACATGAGCACAATTTTGGAGAGCCTGGTGGAAGCAGGTTAGAAGGAGCGATAGAGGAACAACAGAGCCATTAAGTGCAGTGCAGGATAATGTAGGTGCATGCAAAGGAACTTCAGTGCATCCCTAGTGTGTGAGAGAGAGAGGGAGAGGCTAAAGTGGAGAGCCAGTGAGCTAAATTGTAGCCCTTTGTCATTAGTGTTCAATCGTTAATAACCCACTGACTGTATGGATTTAATTATTTAAGCCAGCTATTGATGCTTCTTCCGCTGTCGATAATAAAAACCTTTACTAATTATTAATGTTATTAAATGGTCAGAGAGGGCTAAGCCCTGCTGCCTTATCCGCTTCTCCAAATTCTCAGAGCAACAAGCAGGCCCTCGGCTGATGTTCTTGTGTATGTACAAGCAGATTTATGTAAAAATGTGTGTGTTTGGGGTGGGGCTTTGTGAGCATGTGGATGTGGGATCAATTACTGAAGCATGCCCCCCCCCCCCCATGTGAATCCACTCAGCAGCTTGTGCAGGGATACCTGGGTCATCTGCTGCCCTCTGCTTTTTCTTTTCCACTCTAACCTCCATTGAGCCCTAAATCCCACCATCTTATTGTCCCCTCCAGCTCTGCCGAGGGTGTCTTTGATCCCTCTGTGGACCCCTATTGAGTTAATGTTTAAAAGGCTAACTGGCCTTTAGCACTAACTCAGGATAAGGTGTAGCAGGCCATTTGCAGTGGGGCTCCTAGTGTAGGGTGGGGCTGAGTCTTTCTAAAGCTCCCCTTCTGTTTCCAGTGGAGCTGGCCAGTAGTAGTGATGAAAGAGGAGGGCTCTGTCCCTCGAGACCAACAGCACTCTGATCAATGTTTAATGGCTCGTACTGCTGAGAGGGACAGGAACATGAGGGAGGTGATGATAGGAGGAGGGAGAGGGGCTAAACGACAATCACGCCCCAAGAAACACACTGACAGGTGTGAGTGTTTGATTGTTTGACACACTGAACTGCTTTTGTTTTAAGGCAGTTTGTTTGTGCTAAAAGGTTAAACTGTTGTTGACTTTCAGGTCCAGACGGCGTTTAAGTGCGCGTGTGTGCTGAGGGACACTATAAATCCTTACCTGCTCAGAAGAATGAAGGCAGACGTCAAGGCCAACCTCTCTTTACCTGACAAAAATGAACAGGTATTCATCATACTCTTAAGACATTTGACCCTTTTCTGTCTAAGTATTGACCAGCCTCTCATGCCTGGATCTCTTAACTGGGGAGGTGTTTTTCTGATTGGATGTGACTGCATGTGTCACATCTAAGGAGTATTTGATGAATGTGCATGGCCCTTGTCAGGTGAAGCCAGCTAATAAAGTCCTAGTAAAGTAAAAGGAGCAGGTATTCATTAAGGTGGCTGGTCTCTGGTCTGTCCTCGCGGTTGACGCTGGTTGACTCCTCAGTCCACTTCAGCTCATTAAGTCAGTCCCTCAGGACAGCAGTGGCTCCAAAAAACACATTGCTTCCCTCTAATTTCTCTTCTTGCACACTGCACTTCATCAAGGGGCTTTAAAACGGATGGTCACTGCTTATTACACACTTTCACACTGCCCTGTGTGTGTGTGTGTGTGTGTGTGTGTGTGTGTGTGTGTGTGTGTGTGTGTGTATGTGTGTCTGTGTAGGTTCTGTTTTGCAGATTAACAGAGGAACAGCGGCAGGTGTATCAGAGCTTCTTAGATTCCAAAGAGGTCTACCAGATACTAAATGGAGACATGCAGGTAAGTCTCACCTTCATAGTTAAAGCTGGTTCAGTTAAAGCTGTCTCACTCGGCTCACTCTATTCACTCATTTCATTCACAGGCATTTGTGTGTATTTTTATGCACTCCTGTACACTTTAAGATCGTCAGTGGCATTTAAATTTTTTTCGGCATGTAAATTTTGTTTAACTCCTAACAGCTTGACTTTAGTATTCCTTAAGATGCTCTCTGGAAGGAGGTTGTGCAGTTGGTCTTCTCACATTAGCCAGACCCTGGAGAGAGAGATTTGATAATTTATCACCACTGAACAAATGGATGCAGTTGGAGAACCAGGGGTGACCACAGCAGATTGCATGCATACACACACACACACACACACACACACATGCTCTTATAGACATATTCAGTGGTCACTCTCAGTCCATTAACCACCATTACTAATGCAGTGACCGTTGGGCCTTTATTGTCCGTAAATAAATTATGTAACTCTTTCCTGTAGACTAAAGTAAATGTGTTAATTTGTTTAAAGGTGCAATGCTGTATAGTGCAATGACATCTACCAACCTTTTATACCAGTTTTGTCACCTGGCAGAAACACAACCTTTGTTCCCTTTTGTGTGTGTGTTCTGAAGGTATTCTCAGGTTTGATAGCGCTACGTAAAATCTGTAATCACCCTGACCTTCTCTCGGGTGGCCCCCGGATGCTGAGGGGAATCCCAGAGGACCAGCTAACTGAGGAGGAACACTTTGGCTTTTGGAAACGCTCAGGCAAGCTGATAGTGGTGGACTCACTGCTGCGTCTGTGGTTCAAACAGGGCCACAGAGTCCTGCTCTTCACTCAATCTAGACAGGTCAGGAACTCGTTGCTCTGATTCATCTATCAATGACTTTGCTTAAAACGCAGTTAACATATACACATAATAAATATGATCCATTTTTTTTAGAATTGTTTGTAAAAAATGCCCTCAGATGGATTTTTGCATAGGCTTCAAATGCATATCTGAAATTGTCATGTCACTTTATGTAAATGTTATCTGTGTATTTGCTGCTGACTACCTACAGCCCGTGTCCCTGTGTGTGTGTGTGTGTGTGTGTGTGTGTGTGTGTGCGTGCGTGTGCGTGTGCGTGTGTGCATGTGCGAGTGAGCGAGGCCCCAGCTGTTGCAGTCAATACCAATGAGATTATACCTCAGAGGGAACCTGAGACCCTCCCTGTCGGTATCTCTGTCCATGTAATATTAATCTGCTCTAATCCTTTTAGAGATAATCCAAACCTCAGCCCCTCTTTCCCTCTCTCTGTTTCTCTCCCCGTCTTCCTTTGCTCACTGTCTTTCTGTTGTCTTTATTGTCTCCCTCCTTTCCAGATGTTGGACATCTTGGAGGTGTTTACGAGGGAGAACAACTACACGTACCTGAAAATGGACGGCACTACCCCAATAGCTTCCCGACAGCCGCTCATCGCTCGGTACAACGAGGTAAGGATTAGTCATCCCTAATGGCTCTGAGTGGTTCCCCTGAAAATCCCATCCTGAGGGACAAAAATGCTTCAGTGGAACCCTCCTCACCCTGAGGTGAAAACACTAATTGACAGCAATCTGTTGTTCAAAAAGAATGTTTCTTATTGACTCCACTGAAAAATGGACATGTGAAAAATATCACTTAGAATTATAGCAATGAATGTGAATCTTCAAAGAAAGATTTTAAAATTATAACTAATTAACAGTGATCAAAGCCTCTGATTCTGTTCAGATTAATATGTTATTATCGAATCCAAAAATTTCAGATGAATATTTACAATTTATTTTGGCAATTTTAAAAGATTTCAAAAGATGTTTTTTTTTCTCTGTAGGAAGAATCAAGTATACAAAAGCCACGTTTTGTTTAAGCTATTTGATTCTCTTGAAATAGAGTATAACTTGAGAGAACAGGATATTACTGTTCTTATATTACATAAAATTTTAAGTTAACAATTTACCGATGAAATTTATTTATAAGGTATTACTCCAAAGTTATTCTCAAAATGAAAATAAAACGGTGGACATTATTTTTTATTAATCACTGACATTTTTTTTCCCTTGCCTTTCTTTCAGGACAGATCCATTTTTATCTTCTTGTTGACCACTAAAGTCGGAGGCCTGGGAGTCAATCTGACTGGAGCCAACAGAGTCATCATCTATGACCCAGACTGGAACCCCAGTACTGACACACAGGTTAGACACACACACACACACACACACACACACACACACACACACACACACACACACACTCACACACACACACACACAAATAATAATTAAAATAAAACATTTACTAAGTCCATTATTTCTCATGAATTTTCATTTTACTTAACCAGCTTTATTTGTAAAATTAAATTACCTATTTTTTCCAGATAGATACCAGCTTTTTTCACAGTTTTTGTCCCCTTGTTCAATAAAATTAAACTATTCCAACTCTGCGTTTCCTCATGTTTTTTTACTGTGCCTTTTTACCATAATCATTTATTTGAATTTATTGTGTTGTTCAAAGGCACGGGAACGAGCATGGAGGATCGGTCAGAAGCAGCAAGTGACGATCTACAGACTGCTGACTGCAGGGACCATCGAGGAGAAAATCTACCACAGGTCTGACAGCAGTGTTTTTATGTTTGAATTTACACACGTCCGTAAACATGACATTTAATTAGAGAACTTACAAAAAAAAAAAAAAGATTAAAAATCCGGTGCCAGCTTTTGTGCTTTCTCTTACCCAGCCTTCCATATTAGTTATCTTTCCATTGACTTCACACATCCATGAATATTGGTAATGCCATGACTAATTGCTCACATCACTGCTGTATTACTACTTGCACTATCCCAGTTCTCAGTAATTGAAAAGCTTTCCTGCATTATTAAATGGCCAATCTAGGACTTCTAAACCGTTGCTCTGTTTGGTTTGTGTCTGTAAAGTGCTTTCAAACAGCAAGTTTGAAGAACTGCAGGGATTCTATTTTGATACCTACAGTAGAGCGGTTAACTAATTTTCTCATCCATCAGCCAAACTACTCTGTGGTGACAGAGGATCGGGGTTGCCTGCTGAGGTAAAATGGTAAATTATACACAAGTATCTAATTCTGTATTTTTATCTGTTGTAATTCAGGCAAATCTTCAAACAGTTTCTGACCAATCGTGTTCTGAAGGACCCCAAACAAAGACGGTTCTTCAAGTCTAACGACATCTATGAACTCTTCACCCTGTCTGACCCTGATGGAGCTCACGGAACAGAGACCAGCGCCATATTTGCAGGTTAGTATGTTTTTCTTTTGTCCTTACCGGAGAAGCATTTTATTGTACAAATATTAGATCATATAAATCTCTCCCTGAAATAAGTTTGAAAGAATTCACTTGATAAGTTTTGTTTTTTACCCTCAAACAGGTACAGGCTCTGATGTTAAGGCTCCCAAGAAACCTGAGAGGCCAAGGCCATCTCACACGGTAAACCATGGCAGCCATGCACATAAACACTCCTCAGCAAATCAGAATAAAACCGGTGCAGAAAGCAGACATTCCTCAACAAACATTCCTGCATTAAAAGATGGTAATACCTCTCTGTGCAGTAACAACTCTCAGGGTAAACCAAATGTTGCGACGGACAGTGAAAGCACCAACCAAAATGGGGTGGATGTAGAGCCAAATATTTCACCAAATATGCAGCGTACAGGACAAAATAACAGAGAATGGGATGCGACCAAACCATCAGTCAAAAACTCAAACTCGCCCAGTTCTCACCAACACGGAGACAAAGAGTCCGCTCTGACTAGCCCACAGAAACACAGGGAAAAGAGGAAGCACTGCGACTCAGCGCAGTCGGATAAACAGAAACATAAGAAACGCAAACACTCCCACGATGCTCGGTTTGAAGGCCACCGCATCTCTCACTTGGTGAAGAAAAAGACCTTTAAGAAAGCGGAGAATGAAGACAATGAGACAGAGGACCAGAAGAAATCAGATGATTATGTCTTGGCAAAGCTCTTCAAGAAATCTGGTAAGCTTCTTTTACACAAACTCCATCTGTCGTATCAGATATGGTTTATTTAGTAAATCTCACAAATGGTGCGCCTCGTTTTTTTCTTATTCATCTTCCTTGGTCTTCTTCAGGTATCCACAGCGTGATGCAGCATGACACCATCATGGAGTCCTCCAACCCTGACTATGTTCTTGTGGAGGCAGAAGCCAACAGAGTGGCCAAAGATGCCCTGAAAGCGCTTAAGGTTTCTCGCCAGCAGTGCAGACTGTCCTACAATAGACCCCCTCCTCCACCTGCAAGGTACACAGTCTCACGCTCACACGGTGGCATTGTCCAGAGCTTCACTAATCTCACTTAAAAGAAACATATTTCAGTTTTTCCCTCGTTTGCTCACTCAGGAAACGGTTTGGACAAAAGAAGAATTCTCTCCTGGTGGCACCTTCGGTTCAGTCTGTCCCTACTCCGAGCAAATGCAAGGTAACAGCAGTGTTATTATGAAAGGATGTACAGTATATTTCTGCCAGTTATTTTTTATTTGTGAAGCTACGTGTAAATTCATAAATTTTTCTCTTCAGGATGCTGCTATTGTAAAGAAGTCTGCGTCAAAGAAGCCTGGTTCAGGAGCTCATTTTAGCGGGGAGGTGGCAGAAAGTGACTCAAACTCCGCCCCACTCTCCTCCTCTTCCCTGCTGGCTAAGATGAAAGCACGTAATCACCTCAGTGTGCCCTCCAGCCAAGGAGAAGAAGCAGAGGAGGAGGACAGCTCAGGAGCTCCAGCAAGTAGTTCCACCCCAGTTCCGCCCACTGAGCATGACGAGCTGTTGGTGGATCTGCGCAACTTTGTAGCCTTCCAGGCGAATGTGGACGGACAGGCCACCACCCAGGAAGTGCTGGAGTATTTCAAACCAAGACTGACCCAAAAACAGGCACCTGTCTTCAGAGAGCTGCTCAGGAGCATCTGTGACTTCCATAGGAGCTCTGGTCAGGAGGGCATGTGGAGACTCAAGGAGCACTTCCGCTGAAACACAGATGAAACCGGAGTAAAGGACTGAACTGTGATGCATACTTGAGTACTTCTAGCCTGAAGAGTTCTGTTTCTTTGTCAGTCAAAATGCAGAAATACATCGGTCACACTGTATAAAAATGGATAACTTCATATTATTACAGTTTGTTATGAAAGGACCATATCGTAGGAAAGTCATTTTACAGTACCATGGACTGTTGGGTTATCTGATAAACTCATCTGATTTTACTCATCAGTTGATTATCAGTTAACTAAGTCCTGAAGCTAAAGTCTGTTGCAATGTTTAATTTATTTCAGCTGCAGTATGGGTTGGTTTGGGTTTTTTGCTTGTTCAGACAGTATTTCTGTTGTTTTTGTTGATTGTTGTCCGTACCTGCTTATACTTGAATCCACTTTGTATTTGCCTCGAAGTTAAAACTGTATTACCTAATGATTTCCTCAATAATGATATTTTTTGTTCACTTTCAATATTTGTACCTCAACGGTGTCATATCTTGTAATATGTTTCTGTAAAATGTAACAGGGGAGTAGTGTCTCATTTTATAAATATAACCTAATCACCATAGGATTTGGTAGATTTTATAATGACTAACTTTTCATAAACTGTACACAGACATGGTGGGTGAGGTGGGCTGGGGTGGGGGCTTCAAAGTAATATTCAATTGGCCTACCTCCAATTATTTATGAAACATTGGCAAAAAGAAGAGTCATTTAAACGCCATGTTTTATAAAAAAAAAAAAAGAAAAAAACGATGCACTGTTTACATACATTGTATGTAATAAGCATCTGTAGCTGCTTGCATTTTTCTATTTGGGTAAAGGAGGACTGGTTGAATTAGTCCAAAACGAAAAAAGTACTGTATTTTGAAGCCTTTAAATAAAGTTTACAGAGCAAAAATAATGGACGGTTTTGGACCCATTTTCTCAGTTTGTGGTAAATTTCAATATTTACCACAGTAATAGTGGAAAATATGGAAATGGTGATTTTAATTTGATACATCAAAATTGGATATAAATTAAGGTCATTCTCCCAGAAAGATCATTTGAGAGTTTTACTGGAGTGTGGAAGTGTGGTGCTGACCAAGGTGCTGAAATGTATCCGGTAGATAAACCTGTAATTGTGTAGAGATGGGACCCAAAATCTGCAAAACTTACTGAAAGTTTACTTGTAAAACAGTTTGTAACCAGCGGAGATGAGAGTTTAATTTCATTTAGTCATTTAAGCAATCATCAGAGGCTAGAGAGGAAAGGCGCTGACAGGAAGTACGCGCGCGCACACACACACACACACACACACACACACACACTTTGGGCCTGCACTCTTGTCAGAGTTGTCTAGACCAAATATTGGGATAAAGTTATCAACCGTTATTTGATTTCAATTTTCTCCACGCACCTCGCCGAGGTCATAATAACAACTTTATTTTCAGTGGTGCATAAATTAATTACGCGCATTTAATAACTAAAATATCATTATATTCCCCCTTTAATAACATAAACGCTGCACGCCAGGGAAACCCTTAATAGCGCGGGGCCCTGTAACTGGCCATTATCCGCCTGTAATGATATTACAGAACCAATTACGCGCCATTAGAAGGGATTTTCTGCACTTTATGTGGTTTAGTCCAATCCCGCACTCCTCTTCTAAATTTCAGCTGCTTCTCGAAGCCTCATTTTGCCTCCACCTCAGAGACGCATGGCGTCTGCGCTCTGCCGTCCCTGATGCGCTTTAAAACTAATTGAAAGGGTCCCGCAGCAGATCATTTATCTGAGGAAGCGTAATAAATCGCAGGACCCCTTGCTGTGAACAAAATCAAAAATTTGGCCTTGTGAGTGTTCTACACGCGCAACCCCTTGTAAAGTGGACCCCCTAACACACCCTGACGAGCAATTAACCCACCCGACAGTCAATCTAAAACCCAAAAGCAGTCATCCTCCTTTTTTTAATATATGAAAGAACCAAATAAAAAGTGCAGCGGGTATGTGTGCATGTTTATGGTTAGGGAATATGCTTGACTCTGGAATAACAATCACTTGTGATGAATTTTTTTGGCACCAGAGCAGAGCTGCCGTTTGCCACCCTGGGTATATCTCCCCTGCTCTCCCCCTCTGTCTTTCTATCTTTCTCTGACACACACACACACACACACACAGACGCACACACACACCAGGAGTTGGGGGTGAGAGAGACAAAGCCGTGATAATCCGATTAGGACCAATTAGGCGTGAGATTCTGCGACACTAGCTGAAAGCCTTAACACTCTGTAGACAGTTATACAGTTATAGAGACATCTGGACACTCCCAGAGAGAGAGAGAGAGATGTGAGTGTGTGTGTGTGTGTGTGTGTGTGTGTGTAGGAGAGAGAAAGAGACAGGGGGAGAGAGAGAGCGAGAGAGATCTGGACACTCCCAGGCAGAGTCAGAGAGTCAGCGGAGGTGCAGCAGCCACTTCTCTCCAGAGCGGGAACTCACTCGCATCAGCATCCTCACTGCAGGTAGGACGCGCTGCATCTTCAACTTTGAATCTGCTGAAGGTCCCGCACGGTGGCTCCTCTTCTTAGGACGATTTCATGTGTTCATTTTTTTTCCACCACAGATCTGATCTCGCACTGTAGCAGCTTCTGCAGCCGATCTGACAGTCCGGGTTGAAACTTTTCCTCTCTATTCCAGGTTCAGTTTTGCGGCTCAGAGACGCGCGCCAGGATGTTCTACTTCCACTGTCCGCCTCAGCTGGACGGAGAGTGCTGCCGCTCCAACACATGTAAGTTTCCCTTCCTTGTTTTCAGTCGATCCCACACAGGTGCGAGTTTTTTCTAATGTCTCTCTTAAAGCCGGAGTCTGTAAAGTTTTGTGATGTTTCGGCTGCGTATTTACGCGCACAAAGTGTGTGTTGTTGTAGGAGAACCGAGTCAGGCCTCTCTTTCTTTCATTTTTTTTTTTAAATTAAGATGAACATCTTCAATTAATAATGACAATAAAATGACACAGGCCTATAAAAGAAAAACATATTTTATCCAGTAACAAATTAAAAGATTTTCATCCTCTAATCCGCAGCCAGCTGATCGTCAGAACAACATTGTAAAAAAAAACGATATTTCCCCTCTTTAAAAATTAAAAGTGAAACAGGTCGGAAGCTTAATGCATCTCTATAAACATTTCTGTCATTTTCTCTTTGCCACAAATTCAAAGGTGGATGTAAAGGGTTAAGTCTGATATTCCCTCTGCCATGTCAATCTGCTGCGTGTTTCGGTGAGAAGCGCTGGTGGTTTGGCCCCGGGGCAGAGGGGGCGTTTTGTCCCGGGCACAGATGTTGAGTGTCATGGCTCTTAGTCCGTCATGGTTCCCCTCAGACACCCACAACATCAGTGTTTCATGCAACTAATGGAAATACCAAATGTGCCAGAGAATAAATTCCCTGTGTATTTGGCCTATATACAGAGTTCTTTTTTCTGCATCCCTTTTTTTATTGACACATGGAATCCAAGTTTTCTTTTTAACACATTTGAATTAATTTAAACACAAACACGGAATTATAAACCTCAGTTTTATTAAGACAAAATTCTCTTTTTTGGACTTTTTTTCCAGTGAATTCCAGCGGTTTTGCCAACCACGCCGCGGCTGATTTTGATGATGGATTTCTCCGCAGAAAACAGCGCAGAAACAGAACAACATTTACTTTGCAACAGGTAATTATTTTCCAGGACAAAAATACAGAGAACAAGAAATATGTGAAACTTTACTCAGAGCGAAACAGTCACGTGGAACTGGATGGAATGAATAAAACACCAGACAAAGTGTTTTCAAAATTAAGGACTTTGTCAGAGACTTTCCAGTTATCTATCACACACCAAATAATAATAATAGTAAGGCCTTTACAATTGTTTTTGATACGGTAACAGCATAAAAGAAAATAACATAATTGCTTCACACATATGAAAATAAAAACACAAGGTTAGGAAACCTTTAGAAACAAGGCCTAATATTTGTGCTTTTAAGGATCATGCATGGGCATATCTGTAAACCACTCACTGTGTGTATGCAGGCAATTTGATATTAGGCCAAGATTAAGCCTGCATTAGACTACTTTACTTTTTCCATCTCATAGTATGTTAAGCTTATGGGTTTTATATTTTTCACCAGCATGGACCTGGTGAGGATAACATTAAGGAAGAGAAAGAAAGAAAGAAAGAAAGAAAGAAAGAAAGAAAGAAAGAAAGAAAGAAAGAAAGAAAGAAAGAAAGAAATCAATTAATAGAAAATAAACTAAACAGCTTAAACTGGTGTTTTGCAGTTGGAGGCTTTGGAGGCTGTCTTCGCTCAGACTCACTACCCGGACGTGTTCACCCGAGAGGAGCTTGCCATGAAGATCAACCTGACCGAGGCCAGGGTGCAGGTATGGCTGCAGCACTGTGCGCACTGTGTCCTGGGCACGTTTGACCATGCGAGAGAGGGTAAATTAAGCCACTCTGTCATTCCGGCGATGCACTTTAATAACATCAACATAATGGTGAATATTAGATTAGCTTGATTAATCGGTCATTCATAATTAACCAGCGATAATGGTCCTCACTAATTTGTCCGCGTCTCAAAGGTAGGAATACATCATCCATGCAAGATCCCTTTTCCCGTAACGCAGAAAGAAAACGATATGTGCTTTAAAAGAGGGAGAAGCCTGCAGCCTCTAAAACTCTCTTTCTCTCTCTATCTTTCTCTCTCGCTCTCTCTCTCTCTGTCACACACACACACACACACACACACACACACACACACACACACACACACACACACACACACTTCAAAACACAAACACACACCAGGAGGAGAAAAAAAAAAGCCTTAAATTTGGTAATTTATATTCCGCTCCTGCCCTGCACATATGCGCGGTTATAAACTTGGCCAGATGTAATTAAGTTATGTGTCCTGTATGTAATTTCCTGCATTCCAGATTTGCTTTTGGGTTTTGTTGTGCGCGCAGATCTAATTGTGGGAAATATAATAGTTTGCCTTTTGTTCCCCAGGGTCATCTTACTATCGCTTAAACCCAATGGCGGGGTTGATAATGGAATCCAGCGCTGTAAATTAGGGATTGTAAACAAATTATTCCCCTCCTAATCCGATTACCACATTCCTATTATTAAATCTGAACATGAATCCACCGCAGTATGCAGGGATATTAAACTTACATTATTATTAGAAAATAAATTTCCTTTCTGTTGTAGTGTTGTTGCCCCCCTTTTTGTAAAGTGTCAATGGGCCTCCCCCGCATTAAGAGCATGCAGCAAATTGAGATTAATGGAGCAATTATAGCCCATTCAGAGATGGGTGTGTGTGGGGGGGCGCGACTTCTAGCTGGAAGGTGCAGGGGTGAGATAAGTCCATTGGTTGTATTGTTGTCCTGCCACCAAAAATGTTGTCCTTTCTTTATGCCGAATGAATGCATGTGTTTTGTTTGGCTGTTGACACCATTTATACCTCCCATACAATGGGAGGGATGCAGAGCACATGCACACGACTCTAACCTCCATTCACACATCATGATTAATGCCTGCTAGAACCAAGTCCTAATCGAATCTGATGTTGTCAAACAATCACTAAATAGGGAAATAAACGACTTCATCATAGCTGCCTCTCTCTCGGGCAGCACAACTGTCAGTGGGAAGTCATTAAAATATGATAATGAAAAATTGCTCAATTAAATGTTGTTATAGGCAGTGACCTTCATTCGATTAAGATACCAGAACTTGGCGAGCCTATATCTTCTCAGCTGTGTGGATGGTGAAGTTTCAGAGATAAGTCAGGGACTGTGGGAAAATTAGAGCGCTGGCGTGACACATTCAAACACCTCTTGATGTACAAGACAAAACGAAGCAAATAGAGCATTTGTTTCAACTTAGCTAGACCTGTTAAGCAGACAGAAAAAAAAACACAGATATGAGTGAATATGTGTGCTCGGAGTTTGCATTTGTTTGTCTGTGATATGTCAAAAGAGCGTACAAGAAGAAATTAAGAACTTGATGAGAACAACTTTGGTATGGATATAAAGCTACACTCAATAAAAAAAATTAATGGATGCAAATGTGTCAGGACGTGCAGCGATATTCTAGTTTTAATTAGTAATTTAATTTAATTGTTTTGCTTTTTGTCTTCCCTTTCTTTTCTTTTTCTTTTTTTTTTTTATCATAGGTTTGGTTTCAGAATCGCAGAGCAAAGTGGAGGAAGACGGAGCGAGGGAGCACAGACCCTGAAGGAGGGAAAGAGCAGATGAGTGAGGGCACTCCTCCATCTCGCAGCATCAACTCTCAGTCCCCAGTGGACCAGAGCAGAAAACAGAAAGAACCACTGGAGATGCAGCAGAGGTAAGAAAAAAAACAAAAACAGATGATTGTTGTGGCTATTACTGTTGTGAAACAGTTTCCTATTGGTGGGAGACAGAAAGGTTGCAGCTCCAGATTTATAGTCTGGTGGATCTGAATGATGGAAATGAATAAGAAGCAATATCCTCTCTGTCAATAACTGCCAAAACAAATCTCTGATAGTCATCTAGGTCATTTCTGTAGATTCCACAATGTTCTTAATACACTCATCCACTTAAACTGATTGTGAAACAGTCAAAGCCACAGAGAAAGCAGCTCTGCGGTGCACAGTAATTAGAGAAAAAGTTATAAAACAGTAGATATTACTAGAAATGTACGTGTGTCAACAGAAGAATTTGTCATCTTATGATTTTCTCTAGATGATTAGATACAGTATGTCTGTTCTCCCCAGTATCAACAGGACAGTGGGTCCTGGTGGTCCCTTCTTCCCATCTTGTATACCAGGGACGCTGCTCAATTCTGCCACCTACGCCCAGGCCCTCTCACAGGTCGCCACACTGAAAGGTAAATATGATTCTCATTAACTGGTGAATGGAGATGATGATGATGATGATGATGATGAAAATCTCCAGTAATCTCACCACGAGTCCACTTTTGTTGTTTTTCAGGTAATGGTTTGTGCTCCTGCTGCGTTTCCGACCCCATGGGCCTGTCCTTCCTGCCGCCCTATGGTTGTCAGGGCAACCGCACAGCCAGCGTGGCCGCCCTGCGCATGAAGGCCCGTGAGCACTCGGAGGCCGTGCTGCAGTCCGCCAACCTGCTCGGGGCGGCAACTGGGCCCGGCGCCGGCGTGGGAGTCCTGTCTGGAGTCGGAGTCAGCCCGGCCGGGGTGGCGAGGCCCACGGTGGGTCCTGCCATCGAGGTGGGAAGAGGAGGAGACAGCTCCAGTCCCAGCCCGGTCAACAAGGTCCCAGTCCTGGGCAGCAACCCTGACAAACACCCTCAATGCTCCAAGGAACCACTGGAGAAAAAGTGAGGCGCTGGACGTGGACATGGATACTCTACATCTGTGTGATTGTGCCTGTTATTACATCTCTACTCTACTCTACTCTGGTCCTATGAGCAACTAAGCACAACTACTGACTGACTCCAGAAACAGCTGGGAAAGACTTTGCTGATATCTACAATATATGGATGCAAACAATAAATATTTATTTGACAGTAAATTATTATTGTTTGTGAGAAATGCTGAATATCTGGGGCCTTGTTATCCCCATTAAAGCACAAGTGTGGTTTTGGATCTATATCTGTCGTCATGCACTCTTGGACTCTATTTGATGGATTAACATAGAAACAACATGTGTGCAACAAAGACCTATTTGATAATGTGAATTTAAGTTCCTCTTGTTTTCCTAAAGAGGACAGCTTACATTGTGAATGTTGATGCATGTAAACTGTACGTGTAGAACTAATGGCAGGACAGCGAGGATTTTGCAGGAGTTTGGCAAAACAATGTTTTGCCATCAGGTCAGTAATGGGCTCAAACAATCGTCTCTCATTCTTTTGATTTTAAAGTGAAAGTGCACTTTAATATTAATCAGCCATTTTCAGTGTAAATGTGTACATGTGCCAGAATACAGTATGTTCCTGTGTGAGCCCTGCGCAGGCTGAAACAGACTCAAGTGACAGAGCGGCGGTTGTCCCCTCCACTCTGTTAGCACATCTGTAGCGCCAGCAGACAGGGAACACACCAGTCCTGTTTTGACATGTTCTTTAAAACAATTAAAGATGTAGTCGCTCATGTTCCTCTCCTGTTGCCTCTCGCTCCAGCCATCTGTTCTGATACATTATTTATCAGCTTCCCTTAAAGCCGGGAGAGGAGAGCAATTGTGACTCTTATTATTTATTTACTTTTAGGAACGCCTGCCCTCTCTCTCCCTCTCTTCCTCTTCTCTGAGCAGTTTTTAATAAACCCCATTAAACATGATATATGCTATTTATTAATGTTGAATTTACATTTTAAAAAATATCATCTCTCATCACCTCAGGGCTCTTCACGCAGTAGTTTATCACAGGCAATACATTTGTTGATTCATTATTCCTAAATATCTCTCCGCACTAGAATGACTCTTGAATAAAGGATCAGCTGATCAGACACAACCAGTAGTTGGCCTGATTCAATTTGCGTCCTTGAGGATTTTCGGGAAATTACTTTTGATAGTCAATAACACAATTAAGTAAACTACACACACATTACCATGAATAATTGATAAGAAATTATGTATTACCATGAAGTACTGGTTCAATAATTGATGAGGCGACACCCTGGTGACACAGAAGAGGGAGATAATGTCAGAAGTCGTGCCAGGTTGTACACTTGTGTCCTATTTTTCACTATGTGTTCATGTTGTAAACACCTTAAAAATACTCCAATAAAGTGACACTTTCACGGACTATGAGTCACCCACTCGTGACATTAACACTTTTTAAGATTTAACAGGATTTTTATTGTATTGGAGCGCGCTGAAAAACACACACCATAATAAAATTGGCACTTTTGAGGCAGAAATTTTCCAAATTTAGTCAGAATAAAATTTTAAAATCAAAACCTATTATGGCTTTTTTTTTTTATATATATATATTTACTATCATAATATTGTAGGCCTGTTATATAGCAGGTACTCTATCTATTCATGCCCCAAATAATGTTACCAAAAACATCATGTCCTAATATAATGATTTTGCTTCAAGTGCATGAGAGAGCTCCACAGCAAATATGTTAAGCCCTGTGACATGGCAGCTAATGATAACACAATATCCTTATACAAATCAGCTCCTTTTCCTAAAATGTACCAATATGGACAACGGAATCCAGCCAACTCATACAAAAGACGTGAAAAACACATTCAATCTCTCCAAAATTGAATACAGTAGTTGTGGAATTTAATCATTAGCCAAAACAAAGGATGCTGAAGTTATAATGACTCCGATCATCATTAAGTTCTGCATGGTGCCCATAATTCACTGCTTTAATATTTCATAAACAAGTCAAGTTGGTGTTGACATTCAGCTGTGCATGTGGCATCATTGATAATTTTCTGTCACCTAAAAAAAGTCCTGAGGCGGTTTTGTGGAGCATTGTTATATCAAATTAGCTGGAGAGCGGCCAGAAAAGCAGACAAACATGGTGAATATGGGGGACAGCAGTTGAACTCTGTTCTTACAGTGCAGTTAATGGGCTTCTTTTGTTGCAGTAATGAAATATTTTTTGCAGGGATGTGGGGAAATATGTCCTGAAACAGGGAGACGTTGTGCACATGCACCCATCCACAGACACACACGGACAATATAAGGCGCACAGAAAAAGACAGTATGCTAAAGAAAGACACACATAGGGGCGTACATATAATTCTTTTGCCTGACACTGGGTGCAACACCTACATTTTAGAATTCAAATGCATTCAGGCCCGATCCAGTGAAGGACCAAAACACAATATCATCTCTGCTTTTAATTGCTGCAACAGAACTGATCAATAACCCAATCAATTAGAATCAATTAAGCTCATCTCTAAATGGAGATAATACAAACAAAGCATATCTTAATGCAGCAAGTAATGTGCCTGTCTGCTGTCTCCCACATAACCACATCTCTGCTCGTCCTTACTCAGCACAGGGAAGAAGAGCATCCTCAGCGTTTGTGATCGATGCTTACAGTCCCCAGCAGCTTCACAATTCACAATACAACTAATACTAAACTATACAGCAAAGTTGTGCAAAAATTATTTATATATAAAGTTGGACTGATACTGTATATATATATATATATATATATACACATATATTTCAGTACAGACCAAATGGAATTGGATGTATGTTCTTGGTTTGTCCACTAGAGGGACACAGTGAGCAGGAAACTTGTCCAGACTTCCCATAACAGGCTTTATATCAAACCTCAATGGGAAAATTGAGCAGTTTGGATAAACACACTCAGTAATTTTTGCTGAGGGAAGTCTTTGTAAATTAAATTTTATTAATCAAAACAATTTTTTAACAAGTGCTGAGCATTGAGAGCCCGAAAGTAAGTAGCAAAACAAGATGATAGGCCCCCATATCAGCAAGTTGCAAATTCTGGATGATGATGTTTTGAGATGTGAAGCTGATTATCTCATGAAAGGAATCAAGAGATGGATGTTACTGACATTCAGAGTCCAGTGTGGAGAGAAAAATGGTGGATGGGAAGGTCGTGTGGGTGCAGAGATGGAGTTTGTTTAGCAGGGAGGAAAGAGATTAGTTAAAAAGGGATTACCTCAGCCTTTCCCAAAGTTTGGTGAGCTGTATGTAAAGCCATCTGAGTGACTCTGTGCGTGTGTGTGTGTGTGTGTGGGCATATGTGGAGGAGTGCGTCTCCATTAAGGCCCATGTGTGTGTGTCCATCATCCCGCCTGCACCCGCCAAGAATCCCACGAAACTATCTGCTACAGCAATCTCCTATTATAGCAGCAGGCTGGAGGAGTAGGGAGTGGGGGGTGAAAGGAGGAGGTTCAGTTCCTCCCCTTCCTCTGCCTTATGGCCTTTTCTGCTGGGGTTGAGCGAGGCTGTAGCCAGGGGGATTAAACAGTGTTATAAGTGAGTGTGAAACTTATATTGAAAGGAGCGTCTCAGATATGAAAAATCACAGTGAGAAGAAAATGAATGATAAAATGTGACAGATCTGTTCAAATATTTCAGTCTTCTATTCAATACAAAGCTTCATTCAAGTCTATAGTGATAATAGCAGGTGGGTGGTGACCAAGTGCCACTTGTTGACACTCCATATAGTGCTTGTCAATTTTGTTCAGCGAAGAGGGTGGCACTCCAGTGTGAGGCAATCGAGTTATTTATGTCTCCCATCGGGGGGCACCCAAACTACAGTCCCCCCTCCACCCCCACCTACACCATAATAACACATCTTCAGGGAAGGGAAAAGGCTTTTCTCCTGGTTTAGACCCCACAACCTCCTCAGCCAGTTGTAACATTGTCCCAGTTTGCTGACAGTTAGCTCTAGCTGCTAATTGCCAACAGCTAGCTGTCCAGATTTATAAATAGTTGAGAGGCTGTTTGTTTCATCCGTCTGACACTCGACACCAAAGGATCTTGCAAACCCGCATGCTAGTTGAAGCCCTCCTTCTGTCCCCAACGGTGGACACTCTCTCTAGGACAAGTCCTCTATTTCTGTCTGGTCGTTAGCCCCCCGAGTCCCGCTGCCTTCTTCTGGTCAGATGCTCAAAGACTTGACTGTGGACTATAAAGAGGTTTTTGCTTTGGATTGTTGTCAATAGGAAGAGCCAGAGCTGCCAGTGAGGGCTTGTGTGGGGTGACAGGGTAGGATTCGATCACCAAGGCCTTCTTGAGGAGACGGAGCCTTCTGAGGAGTTTACAATAAGGCTCACACTATGGATTATAAAACCTGAAAGGTAAGATAAGAGCTCACTCTACATTGTTGCTCATGTTGAGAGAATGACACAAAATCACAATATATAAAAAGCCTAAGAGAAAATTTTAAACAATAGATATTTAGCCTTCTATACATGCATGGATTTTGAATGCATGAATGAGTTTCATTTTAAGAGTTAAAATTAAATATAAAGACGTGAAGATAAATGTAAATATATGACAAAATTCCAGAAAATACACATTTGCTCACTAAAAGTATTGTGCGGTCTTTAACTCCACTGACAGAACTTGATTTTATTCCACTGACAGTCGCTGACATTTATAAATATTTAGTTGTATCCTTTCTGCTCTCAGAAGTGACAGATTTGCTGCTGTTCAGTCTTCGCTTGGACCACAGATCCTCTGAAAACGAGGCCTCTTTGGTGTCAAATTTTAGAGGCCAGTCCCCGGACGAAAATAAACCTGTCACATGCAAGAATAAACAGAAATCACCCTGACAGTTGGACATGCAAAAACTGCTCAAATTAGGGGCAGTTACATCACTTTTGAATTCTTCTTTTGATGGAGCAATAGAGTGACACAGAAATTAGAAGTCAGAGTCTT